TGGTTGCGGGAAATCCGTTTCGACGTGTGCCCAGCTGCCAGGAATAGACCGATGACCCTTTTGGTACACAACATACGTCTGAGTCTCGCCTAAGCGCATCAACAGCGGCACCCCATGCTCCTCTGCAGTCGCTGTCATCCTTAGAATAGTGTCAAAGCTACCCTGAGTCAAAATCATCTGGGTTATCGCTGCATCCCCAACGCTTTCGATCCCTTCCCCATCCTTGCCAAAGACAACCGGCTCTGCTTCAGGAATATCCGCCTTCGGAGTGGTCCCATTTCCGAGAATGACGTCAGCGTGCTCACATTGGCCCGCTGCAACCTGCTCGGCGTTTGGCGCGGTGCTCGGGTTCCGCTTGCACACTGCAAAACCAAACAAAAGCAACCGTGAAAGTGACAGTGCATCGTCAGAAAAATATATATATGCCGATTAATTTCTGATAAATTTAGCGAGCAGCAACTGTCGAAAAATAAAATGAGAATGCAGAACGGCCGGGCCCCTACCTGTGCCCTGCAAATGTCTTTCTTTTCCAAACGAGTTATACAAGCGTTGGGTTGCAACAATAACGTGTAGTTTCGATCGGAGATTTGCCGGTGAGAAGGAAGAGTATCGAACACCACACAAGCACTGTTGTTTCGTGACATCCCCCAACTACTACATCGACTCACTTGTGGCATCGGTTATCGCAGCAGTTCACGATGCAGCTTGCAGGCGCACCAGGTTGCTCGGCGGTGACGTCGGTGATGACCATGACACGGTCGCCGCGGGCGGTAGTGGAGACCGAAAACAGTGCCTTTTGTCTATCTCTAGAGTTGCGCGCCGCCACCGTGAGAGGCAGACGGAGCTTGAAAGCGCTGGTTCGAGCCTGGCGGTGAACCACTCGGGACACGCTACTCCCGTGGATGTGGCCGGCTTGAGCTCGTTGGGATGCCGCTCGCTTATCAGCTTTGTTCTTCTTGCACCTGTATGAGTACGAAGCATGTGATGGTGGGAAGAATAGAGGGGGGGGAAATGAGTATACGTACAGCACGCACGCTGAGAGCAGGTCGTATTGTGGACGCTCCGGTCTTGTTCGCACTGCGAGAGGGTGAAGACCTAACAAACACCGATGGTCAAGCAACCAGAAAAGTTGGAGTCGATACAGATCACCAGCAACATTCCCGGAGCAACTAGGTGAAAACAGGTGACAGCCTACCAGGCTGCGCGAGCGCTGTGGAAGTCAAGATATTGTTGCATATTCCTCTCAAACAAACCACATGGGTGGCATCGAATCGGGTGACACCCACGTGTGCGAGAAGCATCCGAGAACTCGATTTGGCACATCACTCTTGGTCACATAATTTAAGAGAATTGCAATTGAGCAAAGAAACTGAACAGCGGAAAACGATATTGGGTACTCACGCGTGACACAGACATGCCGACTTCGTCTTCGTATCGCAGAAGCAGCAAATGAAGCGATCCTTGGTAAGGTCGATCAGCCCATGGTCGACGTGGCAATGCCATCGTTTGAGACACCCACGACAAATCGAAGTAACTGTCTTGCTTTTCGAACAGCACCAGCTGCGCTTCGCCAACGTAGCATTAGCAGGCACGATGACAGGGACGGGCTTTCCGCTGGAGGCATCCTTTGCCTCCCCCCCCCCCTCCTCGTCTTCCTCCTCATGACCGCCTGTCCCTGAGCCATGCGGTGCGCCATGCTGCAAAACCAGATGTAAACCATGGCCGTTCAGGGCGTCACCGACGATGCCACCTGCCGTCCTCTGCTGCACAGGCAACGGCAGCGGCGGAAGTGGCTGACGTACCCGTCTATCCCGCTGCGGCTGAAACACCGCCCCGCCAGCTGCGCCCTGCTGCGCCATCAAAAGCCGTGGCGGCGGCCGGGGCGGCGGCCATACCCCTCCAAAGCAACCGGCGGCTGACAGCTGTTGCTGTTGCTGCTGTTGCTGCTGCTGCTGCTGCTGCTGCTGCTGCTGCTGCTGCGGTCGCCACGGCACTTCGTTGGCTAGGCGCTGCCATGGTGGCAACATTGCTCCAAGTTGGCGTGAGCGTTCATAGTTTAGCTGCGCTACTCCCTCTACCTCCGAATGTAGTAGTGGTGCACTCGGCCCGTGCGTACCGGTAGAGCAGTATCCCGGTCCCGTATGTACCCCAATGGCAGACGACAGGGGCGTATGTGGTTCCGCGAATTCGAAACCATCACCTGATAGCTCCCCTGGCGTCCCCAAGGCCTCCGATGCTTGGGACATCTGCACAGCTGTAGCAAGGAACGAGTGCAGCACCCTGCCGCGACGTTCACCGGCCCCGAAGCCCTCGCATGAATTTCTTGCATCTCGTCCCAAACTCCGCCGGGATGATGGGCTTTGCGACGCGTGGCGTTTCGCTGGTGGTGATTCACGTCCACTCACACTTCTGCGAGCCGCTCCGATAGCCGCAGGAGTGTCGCAAGGAAATGTGTTCGCGACGGTGGCTACACCGCCAGGCGCGCCGCTGACCGACAGATGGGAATTGCCCGACGGCTCGCTACCGGAAGAGGTCGCTGTCCGTTCTCGAGGAGGGTTTTGCTGCAAGAAGTTGGAACTCTCTCCAGTGTTCGCGCATGGGGCTGCGGGCAAGGGGTGCGACAACGGCTTGTGCTGGCGACCAGCCGCACCATCCACGCAGTCATCCGCGCCTGCATCATGATCAGCATCATGATGCGCGCCGCCAGCAGAGCGCGTGCTCGGCAGCATGCCGCTCACCTCCTTGCATCAACGACTGACCGCTGCTGTGGTGGCCAACGGTGGAAGCCACGCTATGCAATGCTCTCTCTAGAGGCTACGTGTCGATAAGGTAGCACGGCCGCCCTGTCCGTCCTTCACAGCACGCGCACCTCGTGCGCGGCGTGCGGAGAAATGTAGCTACAGCGCCGGGGTTTCCCCACCCCAGGAGAGCTTTGTGAATAGAACCAAAAAGAGGTTCACCGAGCGAGCGCGCGCACGCGCATCTCCAACCAATGAGGAGACAGTAAATTTAGAAGTAAAGATCCCTTCGCACGGATGGTAAAATGTACTGATGGTTTCTCGCGCGCGCCCTGGGGGGGGGGGGGGGGGGGAAAAAAAAACCCCCCCCGGGGTTGGGTAAAAAGGGTTTTTTTGGCCCCCTAAAACGGACCCCTCTGGGGGGGAACCCGCCCCACAAAAAACTCGTTTTTCGGGGGGGTTTGACCCAACCCCCCCCGAGGAAAGACAAAAAAAACTTCCGGGTCTTTATTATCACCCCCCCCGGACCCCGGGTATTTTCCGGGGTCCCGGGAAAAAGAAAAAAAAAAGGGGGGTCTCTCGAACCGGAAAACGGCAAAAGGGGGGGGGGCCCCCTTTTTGCCCCCCTTTTTCCCCCCCCCGGGGGGGGGGGCTTCTTAATTTTGGGGGGAAACGGGCCAGAAAAAAAAAAAAAAAAATGTTTCTGTTTTTCTCGTTTGAAAAAATTTCTCCCCCGGTCAACACCGGGGGGGGAAAAAAAATTCAAAACC